ACCACTAATGATTAAAAATAGAAAGATACAAACTTTACATAGTTAAATAGGTACATTTATTTTAAATAAGAATGCAGTAAAATATTACAATATAATCATTATTTATTTATTAATACAATTTTCTTAGTGTTTAAAAATTAAGGAATGAATTAAGTAACAATTTTTCAATGAGAACCATGGATTTGTAGATTTGATATTAGCGATGAAATATGAGGTTCAGTGTTACTTTAGTCTTTCGCGTACCACAGTTTGAGAACCGCTGACCTAGTAGAATAAATATTTAGGTACAATGTTATGTACAATATTACATTTTTCGAGTTTTCCTTGTGTACCTATGTGTAATGCGTATTGAAAAATATGTTATTCTTATAGTTATGAATAGCTCATTTTTTAATCAACTTATGTTTCATTTATTTTTGTACTGGACGTAAATTTAATAATATGGACTTACTATATAGTAGCTATTATTATTTCTTAGATCATTGAAGAATGTAAGATCTTTGTTCTATCCAATGAACAACTATGCATCTTGATGAAAGATATGGATGAAGCCATCAGGAACGGATTGGGCAAAGAAACTAATCCATCTTCGGTTGTCAAGTGTTATATCACTTATGTACAAGATTTGCCAAATGGCACAGGTAAAAATAATTCTGATAATTTTAATATGATTAGTTGTAGATGATATTTAATTAGTTTTTTCTTCCAGAAAGAGGTAAATTTTTGGCTTTAGACTTGGGCGGCACCAATTTCCGCGTGCTATTGATTGAACTGGGAGAGAATAACCAATTCCATATGGACTTTGAAACCTTCAAAGTTCCCAGTCATATCCAAACTGGCAAAGGCACAGAAGTAATTAAATATAGTCTTGTTATTAATTGATAACTAGGTACTATAATTATGTATGTCATTATGTTATGTAGTTATTCGATCATATTGCTAAATGTTTGGCAGAATTTGTAAAAAAGTACAATTTGGACAACAAAACGGCATTACCGTTGGGCTTTACTTTTAGTTTTCCACTTAGACAAGTTGGACTCACCAAAGGATATTTAAATAGCTGGACCAAAGGATTTGCCTGTTCGGGAGTGGTTGATGAAGATGTTGTCAGGCTTCTCAAGGATGCCATCAATAGGAGAAATGTAAATAATGATCAAATTACTAAAATCAATTAATTATTTTGTAATACATCCATTACATTTATCTCATCTATATTAAATGTATTTTCATAATACATGTTAAAATGTATCAATATATTTAAAATCTTAGAATGTTAATGTAGCGTCTGAATCTAATCTGTATTTGATTATGGGACCAAAACTCTAATGAGGCATGGTCAAATAGTGTTTTTTTAATTATTATTTTGTAGGTTAGTAAGATAGGCAAAGGCAATGTAACAAAAACAATTAAACACTGAATACTCGTATTGGTTGTCGTATATGTTGATTACTTCAATATACACAATAAACCAGCATATAATATTATTACCAGCACATAAACACTGGTTTTTTGTAGTAATCGAGTCACAAGATAACCACCACTGACCTCACATGTGTCTAGTACTATGACTTATACATTATCGCTTAACTTAGTTTTTGTTTTGCTACATATGCTAAAACTTACTGACCAAGGCTTAATACTAACTATTGTTACATACATGTTTACTTAGCCTAGTTAATATTTTTAGTATTTTCTTGAGTATTGGGCTAGAAATTAAATATAATATATTTTTAAAGAATACTCGAAGATTATATCATAATTGTATAACACAAAAATATACGGATATATAGCATATTAATTACAGTATCTACCTACCTACCTACCTGTACAATTTTAATATTTTTGTTTTAAATAAACATATAATATAAAACTAGATATATAGTACATACAACTAGTCAAATAATTATAAATTTTTTTTTCAATTACTGAAAAATACAACGATTATTTTTTAAATGATACAAAGTCACAATTAAAATCTGGTTTATCCTTTTTTCGTATTTTTAATTCTATTGAGAAGATAATTATTTTGAATTAAAGTTTTTTTTTTTGACTTCTAATGAACCTACGCTTCTAATTTTAGTAACATCTTCTGCTTAAAGTTTTTCTGCTAATATTATTCAATGATAAAACATGGTTTAAAATAGTGATCCAATCACCGGGTCTACATTTTTTAAATATACAATTTTACATTTACCGTTTACTTTTTTGAAAAAGATTTATTTAGCTTTTATTCCCGGTCACCCAAAATATTTACAATGCTCTTTTAATTTTAAATAAATCGTCATTATTTGTCAGCCAGGTTGTTATATATCTTTATATCTTTATACCAAATAAATAACAAATAAAAGAAGCAATCAAATTAACACAAAAATACAATATATAAATACACTAAAGTAGCCAGTAGGTATAAGTTAAAATATAAAACCATATAAAATAACTGTGTATACTGCAACTCGTTTATAAATTGTACTATTTTTTAGAGTGCAATCATGTTGGGTTTTTTCATATAAAATGGTATCATGTTACATCCAATCTTGTACCTACCTAATTTTTGAACAACAATATTACTATTTCATAGATTTTGCTGCATTATTTAAGAAAAGGCTAATTGTTATTTCTTAATTTAAGTGCTTGTAGCTCTCACATCCTTTGTTTAGTTTGATTTGTAATTTATTATTTTTTTAAACTCTTATAGGTGTTAAAGTATCGTGTATACCTATCTGCCTTAAAGTTTGTTCTTTCGTTGTTGCTTCATCTTGTTGGATACACATAATAGTGAATTACCCTCCAAAATGATGGATTGTATGTTTCTACAATTTTCTTTCAATTTTTCTTCCCTTAAAAAAGGTCATTTGGAATGTTATTAAGATAAAAAAAGCCAAATCGGTCCGGTCGTTCTCGATTAATGCAGTTGCCAACAGACAGCATTTCATTTTTATTAAATAAATATTATACCTACTTGAACACTTTTTTTTATACTTTTGCTAATTATAATAATATATTCATTGTATATTTTGTTATAATTGTGTATATAACGTACCTAGAACGATCGATTTTAGTTCAATGTTTACTGTTTTTGGCCCCTTGGCCCCTATTTAATCACATTGAACAACTTTTTTAAAAATTGTTTTAGTCAATTAGCCCACCAAATATTAATCAGTAATTACTAGGGTTTTAAAATTTCATGAAATGTATTTCCTTGAAATATTTCATGAAATATTTCATTGCAATGAAAAATAAAAATATAGATTGAAATAATTGAAAATAATAGGGTTTTGATTTTGATATTTATTTGCAGACCTATTTTTAAATACACCAGGAGAATTTGGCAAAATAAGAAACAAGTAATAGCCCGTCCATATAAGAAATTAATGTTGGGAAATGAACGTCTATATTTATTTAATAATCATATATTCGTACATTGTACCACTTAAACGCGATACTCTCCCCAGTCCCTAACGACGTTCATAATATGATTATAATTTATAATATTATATAAACAAAGAATTTATAATATTTGGTATATTTACATTTTTTTCATAAAATATTGTCAGCACTATTTTTCAGCACTATAAATAAAATATACAAGCATGAAATAATTAATCAACAATATTTATATTTTACTAAGTTTATTCTTTAATTCTTTTGAAAATGTTAACATTTACCTCTTAGATAAGAGAATTTCGGCCATTTTGTGGGCTTCAAAATCATTTCCAAGTCGGCTATCTAGTATTTTTAGTTATCTGTGTAGTTCGCTTACCATGGTTGATATAAATTATAAGTGATAAGTTATTCACAATCAATATTTTCTGTGTATAATCAATATATTATTGAATTTATAATCATCTATAATCGAACACGTTTTAAAGAATAAAAAATATTTTTCAATATTTCAAGGAGAGTGAAATTTTCAATTTTGAAATATTTCAAATTCAGAACCCTAGTAATTACTATTTATTTATTATTGTTTTAACCGGCTAGGCCTTTTTTACATGAATATGTACATTGTACAATTATAAAATTAATCTAATTAAAAAACGGCAAGTCTAGTATAATATATCATGGTCAAATAAAATTAACAAACATGTTGTAAAATATAAATATAATTAATTATAACAGTATTTGTATAATCTTCATAATATAATCAATAACAACCATTTAAGTTTGACATTAATTGTCTTAGTGTATAATTTGCTAAATAATTGGTGATAAACTAGTATGCAGGATTAAATAATTATAAAAATAACTTTTTGGAAAACATTTTATATTAACAAAGTAACTTAATTAAGCTAAAATTGTTTATAAAAATAACGACGGAAACTTAGCGTGCCTCTCGTTATTCCCCCCCCCCCCCCCGTGCACGAATAAATATAGAATCATAGATATGTTTTTAAAATTATGATTAAAAAAAAATGTATAAACAATGTTGGTATGGAAAGGTAATTATATTTTAGTAAGTTACTAAGGTAAATTTAGGTACTGTAGGAGACTAACAAAAAATAGCACAGACAAAAAATTACATTGCACCGAGCTCAAAAACATATTGTCTGGCTAAAACCCATTCGACTCTATTTTTTCAAAAGTTCAGTTTCAAAATGGCTGCAATTGTACAAATTTCTTTCTCAAATTTCATACAGACTTAGGAACTTAGGACTGTCTCAAAAGAGGTGAATATATGGGAACCATTTGGGTTGCACAAAAATATGTATATGTAAATAATTGAAATTATTTTCTTTATTATGTTATCCAAAAACTAAGTATTAAGGAATATTTCGAATACCTACTTATATCTACTTGTAGATACTATAGGTACTACAAATATGGATGGTTGTCTATAATTTAATATTACCTACTTAATAAGAGGTTTGTTTCAATGATCATTTTATTAGGACGTACAGATTGATGTGTGTGGAATATTGAACGATACAACTGGTACACTCATGTCATGTGCTTGGAAGACTCCAAACACCAAGATTGGACTTATTGTCGGTACGTTGCATACAATATTTTACTTATTAGTTATTTTCTCATTATGATATTTTTATTTTTACTATGATTTACTATTTTAATACTATGTTGAATTTTGTATAATATACTAACTATTGAACAAGGAACATTAAAAATTAAAGTTTCTATTATTAATAATTTACCAATAATAATATTTTCTACTTTTTTATTATTTTATTCTTAAAAAAAAAATGCACACTATTTTTTTTTATAAAAAAAGCGTAGGTACTATCTACATTATTATATAATCTAATCGAACAAGGTGAACTTGTTTGGTACATTTAACATCAAATATTCGGCGGCCTTCACAGTGAAAAACATAGGTTAGTTACCTCTTACCTCGAAAGTAAATGATAATATTATTGGTTCCTGTTGTAGGTCAAAAGTCAAGTTTGTAATCATATACTTACCTAATGATATGTTATAGTAGGTTTTCGTGGTGTTGCACTATATCATTATATTTTACTGTCTATCGAATAAAATGTAGAATAATCTTCATCGCTTCGGAATACAACTTATCAATAGTGGATTATTAACTTGTATTTAACCGATTATTTTTGGGAGCAAAAAACCATAACAACTACGTATGTTGTGGTTAGAAAGTGTATACCTACGGTTCTAATTTCTAACAACAATTTTACATAGGTGTCACGGATTTACTCACATTATTTAATTAATTATAAAGAATTGAAAAAGGCGCCTGACGTCATTGATCGGGCCATAATATATACTAATTGCCTATAAACACACGTGTAAACACGGGCGTCGGGTTTTCCAATTTTCATGGGGCGCTCAAAATTGAAAAATTCAACAAAGCATTATTTGTTAACTCGTATTAAAATTGTATAAAAACTCCTAAAATTAATATAAACAAGCTAAATTTGCTAAATTTGCTAAATTTGCTTGAAAAATGTTTAATTAATTAAGACCGATCTGGTTATTACAAATGTATAAGTAATACTAGCCACTATTTAATATTATAGTTCAAAATATAATATACTCAAGGCGACTCGTCGGTGTGCGGTGGTATTTTATTTTTAAACTATTTGATTTACAATTGTCAATTTTCAACTGGGTATTGCAAATTTGTTTGTTGTTAATTTATAATAAATATAATAAGTATTAATATTTAATATGATTGAAATCCTTCATATATAATTGCAGTTTAGTTAACATGCGATTTTTAAAATTTTTTTTTCGAAACTTAACTAAATTAACGTTTTAAAAATGATGATGCCAAAAAAAAATTTGTGAAAAACTAGTTTTTGAATTAAAACGATTTGAAATTCAAGAATTCTGGAATTTTTAATTTTTGTGGGGGGGGGGGGTTGGACTTACGGATATCGACTATTTAAGAACGATGAAGCAATTAGAATTTTTCTTCGAACTTAATTTCAAAGTTATAGCCTTTTGCAGTTAATGTTTTTCCGTTTTTACCCATGACCTTAACGCTCTATAGTTTAAATAAATTGTAATTTTTTTCTTCTTAACTTATGTAAATTAACTGTTCCGAGGGGCTTCCAGGAGGACCTCCTTGGACCTCTAGTTTAGCTACCGGATCCGGTAGGTGTAGGGTGCGACTACTTGACATACTTTAACTTTTACCTATAATAGTTTATAGGTCACCTGATACTTGTTAGGTAAGGTTAGCATGTTATGTATGCTTATAGGTCTACACTTACCCAACCCTTCCCCCGATCCCGTAGGTGTTGCATTCCCACCCCAGGAATGGTCTTGTACGACACGACTAAAATAAGAAAAAACCCAAACCATAAAAAAGATAATTAAAAATGATTATTTATATTTCTATATTCTTTCATTATATTTATACTTCTATATATACAGTCAACTCGCGATTTAACGAAATTCGATATAACGAAAATCTCGATATAACGAATAAAACTACCGGTCCCTTGAAAATATCGCGGTATAACGAACAAATGTAATGTATTTTGGTCCCCTCGATGTAGCGAAGCGTTTTTGATCAAAACTCTCGAGATGGAACGAATTTTTATAAATTTGGAGCTTTTTACGAATTTTTAATTTTAATTAAGATAATATACATGTATCTAGTGTATAACTCTATGAAAGATATATAAAAATAAGTATGTTGGTATTACCACATAATAGATTACGAAGTTTTTCTGATGATTATCATGCGATAGGACACTCAAGTACAGTATCGCAATTAAGATAAGACTTATGTCGAATAAATTCATACTTTCATGACTCATATATTTTATACATATGTATACGAATAATAAAATTTTTAAATAAATATGTACAATCTCTTTAAATCTCGTCATAACGAATTCAATTGGTATATTCTCTTGATATAACAAATTTCGATGTAACGAACTTTCGATATAACGAATTTTTTTCTTGGTCCCTTGAAATTCGTTATATCGCGAGTTGACTGTATATTATACATATACAATATACATTTACACATACACATACAAATACAAGCCCCAGTAGTTGGCGCCCATGCATGTAAATGTTGCCCATTTCATACAATACTTTTCGTATTTTAATATTATTTTGATAACATTTTATTATCCTTATGTGTATTTGTGAGCTGAAAATTATAGTTCAGGAGGAATTAAATTGTATGTTTATTTCAATAATACTTAAAAAAAGATTAAGTGTAATGTTTGTTAAACACGCTTTAATTTAACATGAGTTTTAATATTAGTAGTACAATTTAGATAAGATAGAATACTAAGAAAATCACCCATTAATTTAAAATAAGTAAATTATTGAGTCAAATTGGCCACTTTTAAGCTTTAATTTAAATAATTATAGTTATAATTGTTTATAATTTTATATACTGCCTAATTAGGCGATTGTGTAGTGACTAATAACGTTACGGGTTTATTTTAAATTCATCAATGCCTCTTAAAATGTTAATTATTTTTTTATCGGATTTTCGTGACTTGTTTGGTTGCTAGTACGTCTACAATACTTAATTTAACCTCGAATAATAATTTGGAAATAAAACTGTATTGTGTGCTTTTTTTTAAGTACGTCGAAACTATTATTCCTACATTTTCATAATATTATTATATTCATGTTTACACTTACCTGGCCACATAGGAATGTCAGGGAAGGCGGGGCAGAATCGTATTACTAACTTAAAAACATTGTAGAACTTAGAACAATTTTAAGAAATTGAAATTTGATTGTTTAATTATATTATAAATATTATTAGCTTAAATAATAATTATGCATTTTTAATAAATCCTAACATTAACTTAACAAAAAAAAAAAATGTTTGAAAATACTAAAAAATACGTTTTTGGGGCAATACCATATTCCGTATGATATGGTTTTATGATTTAAAATAGTGGTACTTAGTTCCCTTAATACCAAACAGTGTTTCGGTAAACTTCAGATTCCAAGAATTTTTAAGGTTGTTTCAACGAAATTCTGATTTTCCCTTACAAAAATGAAATACGTGTTCTCCTCAATATAAGTGGTTTTAAAGTAACAATAATTAAGCAAAGAACAAGCGTAACATAACATAAGCAAAGTATAATAAAAAATAGCAAGGTACCTATAAGGCAGTCTAAATTCTAAACCATAGAAAAGATCATTTTTGATATTAAAAAATGTAAAATTAATTAGGTAGGTATAGTATATCGTCGACAACAATTTAAAATCACTCCACATTTTAACAAATATTATTTCGGGAATAGGTTTGCACCCCCCTCCTGCCCAAGTAAAATTAATAATTTAGGTAAGCAAAAAAAAAGCAGCGGACGTCCCCGTAGGGACGCCCACCTTCAATTCGATTACAAGTTCTGGAATTACGGTTATTGTTTTTAATATGTCTGTTTGTGCAGGAACGGGGTGTAATGCATGCTATGTTGAAAAATTGGATAACGTGGAACTTTTTGACGGTGACAAATCAAAGCCACAAGTAATCATCAATTGTGAGTGGGGTGCATTTGGTGATGATGGCAAATTAGATGCCATCAGAACAATATATGATAAGGAAATTGACTGTAAATCGTTGAATCCAGGAAAGCAGAGGTAAGCGTATCGCTCGATACGAATGATACAATAACATTTTTATTGTTTTCCGTGACGGTGTTTGAATCTGAAATAGTGAAATATATATTATACCTATACGCTTCTTGTCATGGTGTTTTAGATTTGAAAAAATGATCAGTGGGCTTTACTTGGGAGAGATTGTGAGATTGGCTATAGTGGATATGGCTATTCAACACAAACTCTTCGAGGGAAGACTCTCCGAGCAAATGAAGACCAAGGGAGCTTTCGGTACTTCATTCGTGTCCGACATTGAAAAGTATGCCTACTATACTACATTATTATAATAATATATTTTAAGACGTCGAGTGCGAATTCCTTACAATGTTAATTTATGATAGACTATAATGTTCTAAAGAAACAATGTGATATTATGATGAAAATAATTTTTACAGTAGCTTATAATAATATTATACGTTTCGTGTTTTAATCTCTTGCACATAATGTTGGTTAGAAATATAGTGCGAACTGGCGACACACAATGTTTTCCCATAAATGTTAGGGAAACTTTTAAAACATTAAACAAGTTTTATATGGATAAGAATTTTAATCATAACCAGTTGTAGCAACCTTAAGGTGCCCAATTTTCGGTATTTTAATTAATTAGTTCTAGGACAAATGGACCCGGTCGTTTAGACGCAGCCGTTTAGGCGTGAGTAGTGAGTGCATTTGGACGCGAGGGCAAAATTATAATCATAGTTATAAGTATACATTTTATTCAAATATTTGCATAAATGAAAAACATTGCTAAAATATATAACAAGATATATTATAGGGGGCTATGAATGATCAGTCCCCCTAAATTAAACCAAAAGTACCTATTCAATAGTTTTTGTAGTACTTAGTTTTATTATACTTCCTTGTTATATGACTTAAGGTTCAATTCCTTTTACACTTGTTCGTAATATTATTGTTGTATACTGAATAAGTGTATGGTACTAGGTAATTGTGATTTTTTGCGTTTTAGCGATACTGGAAACTTTACCAACACGTTGAAAGTTTTGAGCGAGATGGGCATCAACGACCCATCGTTGGTCGACTGTGCCAACGTGCGATATATTTGCAAGTGTGTGTCCAGTCGGTCTGCGCATCTGGTGTCTGTTGGTCTGGCCACGCTTCTCAATAAAATGGACGAAAAATCTGTCACGATTGGCGTCGATGGTTCGGTGTATCGCTTCCATCCATACTTCCATGAACTTATTGTGGAAAAAACGAGGGAACTGGCAAAACCCGACATCAATGTGAGTGAATGTAGGGACAGTGTTGTACATTAGTTGTCTTTTTAGTTATATATAGACCCTACCATAGACGGATATTTTATCACTAACTTGAGGTTTGGGGGGCTTGGCATTTTAACCAGTTTACAAAATTATTCATGCTTTACACTTTACTCTACTGCTTACCTATTTAGTATCAATTACATGTGCTGTTGCAATTTTTCCAGTAGACAGCATTTAATTTACAATAGTCATAGAGTATAGATTCCATTAGTCAATAGTTAAAACTTATTCATCAATTTTACCAAGTTAACAGTCACTATTTGTAGTTAAAAATAATTTCTTACACTGTACAAAAATGATTGTTTTAAATTGTTTACCTAATTATTTCAAACATTAAGAAACAAACCAATTTTTTAAATTAATACTAGGAAATAAGATGTTGGTGTTAATACATTTATTTTTATTTTTTTACAATAAACATTATTTGTTAGTATTATGTATATTAGAATAAAATGAATAGATGTTTTATCGCTTAGTATTACATATATATTATTTAATATTGCTTATTAATTTTATATATTTGTTAAAAATATGCTTTTGATGCAAAATACATTTTTTCTTTGAATTCTGTTTCCTATGAATTGTAAATAATTGATACTCCCATTTAACTCCCTAGACTAGAAACAAATATATTATAAAATCATAAAATCTGACCTCTCAGTATAACAAGTACTTACTATTATAATAGCTGATATTATAATAACTGTCACTCATTTTTTTGAGAAATTGCTTTATGTGGTACAATTATTCTTAGTGTTGAATATGTGAAGGCTATTATTTCTAATTGATTTGTAAATCACATAAATATTGTATAAATGTCACTTTTCTATAAAATTTTGATAGTTTATTGCATTATGATACTTGGGGGTTGTATATAAGTTATTAGAACACAAAATCAAAACTTTTTTGTATTTTTCAGTTTGATTTGATGTTGTCCGAAGATGGAAGTGGTCGTGGAGCCGCCCTCGTTGCTGCTGTAGCTTCCCGAGATGAATTACCATCTAGGACAAATGGAGTGGTGAAATATTAATGGTTCTCAACTAGTGAATCAAAGTTGATACCAAAAATAATGTTTTTTTTTTTTTAATTTTATTCAACATTTTAAATAATTCTATTGCCTAGTTTTTAAGGAGTAGTGGTATGCCTCATGAATGAGGGAAGTACGTAGGTCATATGTGCATTTAAGAAATTTAACAATTTGCAACCTGACTGAATTGTATGTTTGTTGTTGTTAAATAAGGAAATTACATAAGAAAATAATAATATTGTTTTTTGCATTTAATAAAGTTTACTGTTGAAGAACTGAACAATTCTGGTTATTTTATCAATTTTCAATTTTTGTATTAAACATTAAATTATGACCAAAATAAACTTACAAACAATATGAAGTTATCAGAATTTTTAACTACACTATAATAATGCTATCACTGTAGAACCGTTGGACATTCAATAATACAATTCAAAACATGTAATTTTCTATTTTTAAATTACCTATGTTAATTTATATGACTCATATAATATGAGTATAATTATTAACTATATAATATATTAGTATTAACAATTAAAGTTAATATTTTATTGCAAAAAAAAATCTCACTGACATAAAGTGTGGTATCTTCACTCCATATTATTATTTATTAACTATATTCACTATCAATTTTTCAATCATCATATTGATCGGCCTATAAAAAAACAAAACAATCATTCTAAAATCATGTTATACCCTTACTGTTCTGTCTATTGTAGGAGAGTGGCAAAAAAAGTTCAATTTTCAAAGTACCACATCTCTTAAAATGTAAAACAAATGTCCGTGAAGTTATGTAAAATTAAATACTGTTTATTATCCTGCATAAGTAAATTATAATAAAATCATAAATCTATTTTTTTGTTTAGAAAAATATGAAACAATATTTTCTAAATCAATTTCCATTACTTTTTTGCCTTAATGTAAGTGAAGTAAAGCGGGCACACTTAACTGTCCTTCTCCCGCTATTGATTGGTCATATCTCTAATCTGAGTAAAAAAACAAAGCATTGGCATAATTTACAGCCATTGTTCAAGCAATAAATATCCATTGTACAACAATAAGATGCTATACTGAATTCAGTGTACAAATTTTAGACATACAGTTGTGATGAATAAAATGATACTTATTTTTTTTTTTTAATGATTAAATTATAAAATCTAACCCAAATGCATGGGTAATTTGAATAACTTGATAAAGCTGTATAATTAATTAAAATTATAGTAAATCCATAAGCATAACAGCCATTTGATCATAATTATTTCATACAACTTATTAAAATACTAGGATCACTACTACTATGTTAACAAATTTTAATTTTAATTATAAAACCATTAAACTAAAAAATGTGAATTATAAACTCGGTTGTGTATTTATTTTGTGAATATCTTTTTATCAGAATATTAATTAACTGTTCAACTTTAATGCCTTCTAAATAATGAAAAATTATGTACTGCACAAGTAATACTTATTGGCAACAGATAGATTACAAACAACAATCAATAGATAGATTTTGAATAATTGGGAATACTAATTCTGGGCACATGCTACATATCAGAAGAGCTTCTAATTCCCCTATTTCTAATAGTGGTCAAAAAGCATCCCTTTTAACAAATTATTCTTAAGGTACTCTGGAACACTCCAATTATAACCAAACATAAGTCAATATTTTCAAATTCCATTGAAATTAAATTTTGGTTTTATTTTTTTTTATGAATTGTTACTTAACTTTTGTCAAATGTATTTATAACAAATTATGGACTATCTAATATATTATGTGTAGAAATAAATTTTATTAGTTATTGCAAATGGCTATACTGTGATAAGTATTCAATTAACTGATAAGTGCGGTTTTTTAAGCATGCTCACCCTAATGTGCATAAAATTTGAATTTTTTCTTGTAAAATTTAAAGCACTAAAAAGTAAAAACACTACATACACAGACAACCACTGCTTACAAGTTAATATTATGAGAAAAAATATTCTCTTTCAAAATATTAAATTTGTATAAAACATTGTTTATTTTTAAAAATGTAGTATTATTTGTGATTTAAATTTTTCATGAAATAAATTACAAATTTGAATATTATTCAGGGTTAAAGTGTTAAAGTGAAATCAGTATGTTACGCAATCACTAATTAAACATTATGATTACATATACTACCTGTATTAAACATTTTATATAAAATTATACATGGAACACTTACAACTATATGGAGACATTAGTCAATCCTGGAATTTTTTCTCACTTTAAGCTCTGTAAATAGGCATTTTAACTTAATCATCATAATGAAAATCTAAGACCTGATGTAGGAAAATCATTTGATAAATCCCCAATATTATTTGTTTATCTTTCTAAATAGGTATATAATAAATAGATTTGTATAAGTACACATATCTTACGTAAGATATAGTTATAAACTCACCTACCTACTCATTATTTCAAAAATTATCAAATTAAAATTTTGAAATAAAAATGTCAAAAACTTAAGTCTTATACATATATACCTTCGACCTACGCAAGACACTAACATTTTAAGACAAGTTTTTTATTTTTTTATTTCAAAATTTCAATTTGATAGTTAGAACTTTATAAAGTTAATATTTTAAATTTATTGTTACTTTTGGGTTATATTTCAAAAAAAAAAAAAAAACTGTAGTAAATAGGTAATGCAATTAGGTATAATATAAAATAATCAAAAACATTCTAGTCTCAATGACTCACATTTTTTACTAGTCCCTTGCAGTGTTCTTAAATTGTGTTTGAGGTAAATAATCGAAAAGTATAAAAGTCGAATTTATTTTCATTTCCCTTGAGATTTGAGTAACCTATCCACCTAGGTTCGACTGTACTATATACTCTATTAATAATATTACTAATTTATATGGATAAGCATGTTAGTTTTATTTTTTTCTAAAATCGAGTAATGGATACCACGGTTAGGTATATGGGAGATTTATTTATTTATTTGTAAAATTTAAACGGGCGAACCCAGTTACTTTTATTAAAGACATACGTTTACAGTAAATAATATAGTAATAATAATAATTATAATATTTGTTATTACATGAACACTAATTTTAAAATTATAATATGACAATTATACAGATAGTATGCAATTGGTAAATAGACAGGTTTAACTGGTTTAAGTAATGTATGTGATGAGACACTTAAGGTTGAAAATAATTCACTGAAAAACAAAAAGGCTAAGAATACAGAGTAGAGTTGTATAACATTGGAAATCAACTAAATGAGATATTGACATAGACTATAACATTTATACAGCTAAAATATTATTTAGGTAAAAATTAAAATCCTTTAAGGAGACACAGGAAATTAGATCAACATTTAAATAATTAACAAGTTGCATTGATCTATTCATAGGAGCATTTTGACCATAGCTTGAACGTTGGAGTTGCACATAAAAAGTATTCAATTGCCTAGTTCTATGATTTGGGATATTAAAATTCAATAAAGAAAGTAGTTCTGGACAGTTAATATACCCATTCGTTAATTTAAAAATAAAACATAGATCAAGTCTTTTCCTTTTATTGACAATGGTTTCTAGCTTTAAATACGACAATAATGGTTGATACGACGAGTGAGGCGCACGTTCGATACAGCATCTGAATTGAATGATACGTAGGAAACGGTTTTGAATTGATTCCATGCTTTTTGTAGCGCCGATTGATTGTGAGGACCATACTATAGATCCATAATCAAGTAATGATCTAACGAAGGAAAAGTAGAGTGACTTTAACGCTAAAGGATTTATGAAGTCTTTACAGCTATGATTTATGAAACCTAACACTGAAGAGGCTCTATTTTGAATACAAATATAGTGATCATTAAATGAAAGAAATGGAACAAAATAAATTCCCAGGTCCTTGCATAGATAGACTCGATCTAATTTAATGTTGTTTATATAAAGTAGGTGTACGGTTTTTAGAGAAGGATATGATTTTACATTTGTTTGTTCAAGGATAAATTATTTCGAGTACAACAGGTGCTAAGACGATTTAAGTTGCGCTGGAGCAACAAATTATCAGCTGGTAATGTAATTAAACAGTAAATGTTCATATCATCTGCATATAATAACATATTAGAGTTTAAAAATTTGATGTCATTGATAAATAAATTAAATAGAAGTAGAGCTAAATATGATCGCTGAGAAACACCAGTGTTAATTTTAAATAATGAAGAATTAAAACTCATGCATTTTACATATTGCAGCCTTCCAGTTATGAATGAAACTGACCAAGAGTGGAAAGGACGTATACCTAGATTAAATAATTTTGAGCTAAGAGCGCAATGATCTACTTTATCAAACGCCTTGGAGAAATCAGTATAAATAACGTCGACTTGGAGTCCTGTTCTGAAAGCTTGTAGGATGTAATTTTGGAGTACTAGTAAGTTCGTATTTACTTATTTAACTATTGAAGTAAATTCATGATTTTTTTAAACCGCAGCGAGTAGTGAGAACACATGTAAATAATATATCTCAGACACAATATACTATTACCAAATACTTACTGTAAATGATAAAATTTACAGTAGGGAAATGATATTACAAAATACTCAAGTACTAAACAGAGTATAATATAATTTTTCTGTATACACTATTGGCAAATGACAATTGAAAATTGAAAATATGGTCTATGGTCATCACAATTCACAATATGTAGGTACGTATTACACTATTACGTAATAACGGTGGAGGTAATTTTATTATTTTTCTATGACCTCCACGATCAACGCTTAACGATATCACTATTCACTATTCACTGCATCAGTGTATCAGAATTGTGTTAAAATATAACAAGATAAGAAAAGTGATTGCAGGCCGTCACCGTGTTATCTGTAATTTGATTTGTATTTAGTACCGACTTATGTGATATGGAATACGATTTGCAATGGTTTTTTGCTATGTAATTTACCCTATGGCAATTCATAGTGATTTATCTGGTGAAATAATTATGAAATAAATTTATTATTCGTTCCATGGGAATATAATTCAATATTGAGGAAATCCCGAATCCATACATTTTAAACAACACACTGAATATTATTGTAAGTTGAAATAGTTATCATTTTCTTATGTACCTACCTTCTATTATTATGTTCATTGGTTCATTGTATTTTGTGTGTTGTAAAGGCAAATGCTGATTCTTCGTTGTAGAATTTTGTACTTCTGGTTAACTACATAGGAATTGGACCCGGGTGATACGAGTAAGTTCTTACTTGCAGTTTATTATTTTGTTGTTGTCGATAAGCAGTGTGTCAGATATTAGCAGTATATCACACTTTGTCAACCTAAAACTTCACCCACTCTAGAATATAGCGATGACAATATTTCTTGGATCCCAACTGTAAAATATCCATGATTTATCCTAGATAAAAAATTAACTTGGAATCTACACATTTCTCTAATGTTACTTTAAACAGTATAAACGACTTAAACTACTTAAAGTTTTGAAATACTTTATATAATTGAATCTTTTTACCCTTGTTATTTTAAAAATTATTATTTTTAAGTAAATTATTATCATATTAAAGTGTAAAACATGGTCGTTACTGGTTTCTTAATAAAAATATCAATAAAAGCCTCGAGATGTTCTAGATTATAATCTTACCTTTACATTTTGAAACAGGCCAATTAACTCTAAATTTAGAAGTTACAAAATTAAATCCTTTTTTTTATTATAATATATATTTTTTTTATTTATATGATACAAAGGTATAATGAGTAAGTTTGTTGACATACATAATTTGACACAATAATGTAGTAGGATGTGCCATCTGACCAGAAATTTAATTTAATTTTGTTTTTTTTTTAAGCTTTGAGCAGGTCTCTTGGCCATTTTTTTTTAACCTTCTAGGAATAAGTGAAGTAGTGGTTAGATTTTTAATTAGTGGATTTGAATGAGCTCGAAGTTTTGAGTGGAATTTTATGTAATGGGATTTAGGTAAAGGGTTAGAATATTATGGTCTTTGTGGAGGTTTTTGTTGGTTACATACCAAGGGGCAGAGGTTATTAAGCGTAGATATATGGATTGGAGAGCTCGCAAGGTTTTAGTGTTTGATGGCTTAGCTGATCTTCATAGTTGGATGCCGTAAAGCCAAGCCGGCGAATTATCGATTTGAATATCGTAAGTTTGTTGGCTAGAGAAAGTTTCAATTTTAAGAGGGATCTCAGGAGATGTAGTCTCGAGTTCACAGATTTACGTTTTTGTTTTAGATGCGAGTTCCAGTTAAGGCGTTTGTCAAATATTAACCCTAGGTACTTTACTTCGTCTGATAAAGGAATTACTTAGTTATTAAACGTGACAGGTGGGCAATCAGAATTGCGCAATGTAAAAGTTACATGAGTTGACTTGTTTTCACTGATTTTTATTTTCCACCGTTTTGTCCATATGTTAATCATATTTAGGTGACTTTGGATCATCCGACAAGTAATTGAGGAGTCCTGATGTGGAGCTGAAATTAAAGTATCATCGGCATATGTTCTAAGGAAAGTGAAATTTTTGGGATGTCGTGGGTGAACACAGAATAAAGAAAGGGGGTGATGTCACTACCTTTACCTTGTGGGACACCTGGTAAAATATAATAGTTGGATGAAAAACTATTTTTAATATGGACCTTAAAGGAATAGTCAGATAGGTATGATTTAACTAGTAAGAAATATGGTGCTGGGAGAAACTTTTTTAGTTTGAAGAGTAGCCTTTCATGCCAGACCCGATCAAAAGCCTGCTAGAATTAAATTCCTAAATTATTAAATCAAGAAATATTAATTTGATACATTTTTTTTTCAAATTTCACATTATTATAGGTACAGCTCAATTAACAAAAATTAACAATTTTAAATTTTAACCACAGGGTATGTTTAGTTCATTTTTTTGAACTGAAATTGAAATTTAGACTTAAATGTATACAGACATATTTATTAAAATAAAATAAATAAAACAATCTAATGGAAATAAATAAATAATTTGTGATATTCAAATGATAAAATAATTTCAGAATTTCAAACTTTTATACTTCAAAATAAACTTTTTCACTAATAGGTTAGATTATCATTTATTTTGATTACAGATATTCTAGGCTCTCCGGCCATATCTTCTTGGTAGTTGATTATATTATGTTTTATTTGTGAGAATGTGGGATAAAGCAGTTTATATTAGAATTTTTTTATTTGGAATGAGTATTAACCATTCGATTATTTAACTATTTTTTTTACTTGCCAGCATGAATATTCAAAAAAAGACACCAGTTTTTTATGATTTAGTCCTTTTTCGAATAGTTATGTTTCCAAAAATGTATGACTTCTAGACAAAGAGATATATTTGTTTTTAGAAAATACTTTTGAATTTTATAATATAATATTATATATTTATATTTCTCCTATAATCAATGGTAACCGTATATAATCAAATATTTCCCTCGTAAATCTTAAAATCCATGTTTGATCTACTCCCCGGGTCAGACCTATCGGGTCTACGTGTCAATGTAAACCATCCATTGGTGTTACCCAAACGCTTACAAAAAATGCTTTCAAATTGATCCAGCCGTTTAGGAGTTCAGTGACATACACACGTACAGTAGAATTATATATGTAAAGATATGTTATTATCTATATTATCTTTTTTTCATTCATTTTTATTAAATACAGGGAATTTAATATTTTTTAGAATTAAAAGAAAAAGTTCTTATAATTTTTTTCTTTAGCAATTAAGTAAATAAACTGATCTATACAAGTAAACCTTTATAGATAAATATAGTATGATATCGACTTAATAATGTTTATTTATTACTAAACTATTGTCTATTGAGATTTAGAGTAATGTGTAATATTAAAATGTAATCAATAAAATATAGTAACATGTTTGAAATAAACAAAGTAAACATTTTAAAAACAAGACAACTCCTAATTCAACAATAATTCATATACAGACCATTAATGCATAATATTTTATATAATAATGTAATTTTTTTTGGTGAAAAAACAGCTGTAGTTGTTACAAGGATGTATTTTATTTGCTCTCGAACTAATGTTATTGATAAAGCTAGGAGAGAAAAATCTAGACTTCATCGAAAGTCAGTTAAATTCATTTGATTTATTTATTTTTATTTATAATTTGTGATTAAAATACTTGTTTTATGAATTTCAAAAAATGTATGCATAATAAAAAATTAAAGAGTAAATCAAAAAAATAATTTAGTAATAATTTGATTGTTAGTAAAATCTTTAAAATTTTAGGACTTATAAACAGAAATACAATTAATTTAAAAAATATTAAACCCTTAATAACTAAGGTATTACTGTCAAATTATTATTTTATTTATTTTTATTTTTATATATTTACGGGATTAGCCCTTTGGAAAATAAAATATTAGATATATACAGTCTTACAATTAAATTATAGTTACAAATTACAAGACTTATTACTAACAAAATATGTAGAAATTAAAATATGTACGTAATAGAGATAAAATATAATCATTAATAGATGCAGGAAGTGTCCACATTGGCAAGAGTCATTAATTATATGATAGGTTCATTCGCTAAGTAATTAGAGGTGCAAGGAGGGATGTAGAAAGGTGTATGATTTCTAGAAGTACGTTGTGGTACCCTAAAGTTAATACAATTTAACAGGTGAGAAGAATTTTTTTTTCCAGAAAGCTGTCCATTAAGAAATTTAAATCCAAGAGTTGGTCTTCGACTACAATGGTTATCCAATATCCATACTAAAGCATTCGGAAATAGAGGTGTAATCTTGGGGCAGATGGTGTATATATATTATGTAGTATAAATCCAGCAAAACTAGACATTTTCTTTGTACCATTTCAAGTTTACAAGTGTGACTTGCAGTATGTGGGTTCCAAAGAACAGCACTACATTCTAAAATAGGACGGACAAGTGAACAAAAAATAATTTTTAAAGATAGTTCTGGCTTAAATCATGAGCTAATCTTTTTATGAACCCAAGCATCTTGTAAGCTTTACAACATTTCATGTTGACAATATATATCATGATTTATATTATAATTTTCTCTGGTTAGATCTATCCTCGAGTTTGGGTCAGTGGTCTGGTCACCAAGTTAAACCACTCATATTATAAATATAGAAAACATTCATATACATTTCTTAAAATGATATCTTTTAAATTAAATTGTTCTTTCCCTAGAGAATTTTACAACTTACAAGCTTCTCTACATGGCATTTTATTGTGTGGGCTGAGGAGGAAAGTTGCTGATCTCACGTTTCTATATGATTTATTAAACAGCAATATTGACTCTCCGGATTCATTCTCCATGGCTGGGCTTGATGTTGGTAATCACTGCTTAAGGAAGAACAATTTATCCCATGTTCCACTTTGCTATAATAATTATAGTTTCGTCTCTTTTCTTTACACACACACACACACTAAACATGGTGTAATCATAAAATTTCTGATTTGGTCCGTGCATTACGTCACTTGCTTACCCGTTTTATAGCATACTGTCGTTTAATTATTATTACTATACACTAGACTAAGCTACGTCACGGGCACACCGAAGGATCTGTCCGTCAAAATGTTTAGACCATACCTTGGTGTTTATATCATGGTATGACTTAGGTACAAACAACAAAGAAAAATAAACGTACGCCGGACCAACGTATTATATTTTAGTTGGGTGAATGAAAAGTGGCAATATGATAGAAACCTTTTTGTTTTTCGATTAACAGGGGTTCTCAACGTGAATCAAGCAAAACGCGGTTGATAACAACATAATGTATCATGCATTATGATTAATAAATAAAAATTTTTTCCCATAATTGTACGGTACAATGACGAAAATTCACCTCTAGGACATCAGTGGCCACTTTTCATTTGGACGATGGCTGTTTTCCGACAACTGATAACAACCGGCAGTCAGAGTAATCAACTGTAAAAACAAAATGTCAAAACTTCTTTTCTATAAAAGTTAGTCCTTTATAGAGTATAGATAGACCACGGTCTCAGACTTATAAATTATATTAGTATAGGTAGTAACATGGAATTGCTGCTTACATTGCTCTACTAATAACCAGAATCTGTAACTATTAAGCTAATAATTATTGCTTTAAAAGTTATGTTCACCCCAAGTATTACTTTAACCGATCCACCCTTATACGTACAGTATAATATGGTCTACACTGATAATTTAAATATTCATAGAACGCTTTGTCATCATCATCAAAATCAAATCAAATAAGACAGTAATTGTTTTACACTTATTATTCTTTGTTTTAAAATATATTTTAATTAACAATGTATTTTAAAATTTAATTAAGTTACAGTGATTAATTTAGTTTATTATAATAGTCTTATGATAGCTACACTATTGACGTAATACGTGTCAAATAAATTAGAAACAAATATGGTAAATAATAAATCTTACAGACATTTATATTATAGCATTTCTTTAAGGATACAATTGTTCCATTTCTTTTTTTTTACTGTTCTAATAGATTTTGTGCAATAATGATTCTACAGCAGCTTGCAGACTGCTGTACGGTAATTTGTTTGGTATAACATTTTTATTTTTTCCTCATATATCGATTTAATATACATTATGTTAGTATTGGAGAATATTTGAGGTTACATTATGTTATCAAATTTATGTTTGTCGGCGAACGACCCCCCTTTTCTTTTCTTTCACCCGACTATAGTATACAATATCGATATTCAGTACACAACATTATAGTACTGAACACTTAGTTTGGAGAATAATTATTGGTATTCGTTTTATTTTCATAGTCCTAACTTCACTAGTTTACTCCGAAATCCGAATTCTCGTTGATTACGCGCAACCGATTTAAGAGGTAAAAACAATTCAATATTATTATGGTAAAAACAATAATAAAAACCGTTTTGTCACCGCAAATGTATATACGAAACAATATTATTCTTCCCCATAATAATTACTAGTATACTTGCATGGTCTCATACTAAAAACTAGTAACATTTTATACATTTATTCTTATGATATCCTGGTATCGTGAGCAGATTGACCTTGTCCTTGAAATAATTGCTGTTCGATGACATTTACTGGATGTTTAAGCACAAATGTGGAATGCCTGCCTATTTGTATCTTTGATACATTGGGAGGACTATTCTGATTGCTTAATTATTCTGCTTGCTACACTTTCCTGCGATTTCATGCTGACATATTATTATTTTTTTTTATTTTTGCAGTAAAACCTCTAAATGGCGGACACTCTCGAGACCCAAAACATTTTTCTCCATTGTGAAAATTGAATAAAAGTAAAAATTAAAGTTTTACCGACTTAAAAAAAAAAACATTTTGCTTATAATATATCAGGTTAGATGAGGTTATTACTAATAATACCTAAGTATTAGGTATGTAATATTAATGGCTTATATGGTATATAATAAGTTGGGAATTCGTATAATGTGTATTGTCGTCATTATCTTTCTTTCGTTTAGGTGTATTGGTGGTACATAAGTTCATAATGTATCCATTAAATTATAAAGATAAATATTCTATACTATAGAAATTATAAATTATAATATTTCATATTCTAAGATATTAACTGTATAAATATCACCCTTAAAAAGTAATTAATAGCCTTAAACTTTTAATAAGTACAATTAAATATTGAAGTAGGGGTGACATTTTTGTATAATTTTTTACTCAGATTACCTGAGTTCTGTAAATAAAAATTAAATAATGAAAAAGTAACTTATGAGTAATTGTTATTTGTTTCAGTTTTGGAATAATGAATTCAAATGATGCTAACATTGAGAAAGTTGACCTTTGGTCAACAGGAAAATGTATATTTTGTAGTGGAAAAATAGAAGAAGATTCGAATGTCCTAAATTGTCTTCATATTATTTGTAAAGATTGCACAATGAGAAAAAGTACTAATTTAGGTAAAATTAACTTATATTTTGTTTATTTGTTTTTTGTTTATTAGATATTAGACAATTTTGAAAATTAATTTAATCTTAAAATGTTATGGAAATCTAGGTGTACAGTGTAAATGTAAAATGGTGACTACGGGTGAACTCATTGATTACTCAATTATGCCACCAAATAAAACACGAGTTAAGCTATGCTGTGAACAAAATTGTAAAGTCTTAGCAAGAAAAATCTGCATGTATTGCAAAAGTGTGTATTGTAAACCATGTTCAAAGGTAACTTTAAATTTTTTCTGCACGTATATATATTTCTTTAGTTCAAAATATATATTTTTTTATCAATAGACACATCCAATTAAGAATGAAGATCATAACCCTATCTTAATGATGACTTATCCATTAAAAAAAGAATTTCTTTTTTGCCCAGAATGTAAGGAAGTAAGTATAAGTTTGAAAACAAATTAAAAAGCATTGAATTATTAATCAACAAAAACAATAAAATAAAATTAATTTAATTTAAATTAATTAAATCAAAATTTAAAAAAGAAGGACATTTATACAGGGTTATTCAAAATGATTTATTCGATTTCAGATGCTCATGTAGTTGTATTTTTTAGGTCTAGACTCTAGAACAATATGGTATACATTATATAAAATAAAAATATATCAAGTTTAATTAACTATACCTATCAATGTTCTATGTGAATTCCTTTGGTTATACGAATAACATCTAGTCGTTCCACTTAATCATCGGATACACTAGGTTGGCCTGTGTTTTTTCCTTTGCACAAACACAATGTTTCTTCAAACTGCTTGTAGTACCATCGACGTTTACTCCGAGTAGTTTGTGCATCAATCCCGTAATGACGGCGAAAATCGCGTTTCACAGTTATTGTCGATTCACGCTTCGAAAAACACTACACACAAAATGCTTTGTGGTGTCCGGTCAATAAATTTGGGGAAATTAACTTATCGCCGTACTCGATTATTTTAAAATAATGAATTAATGGCATTTTAAAACTTGAGAATATCCTATATTAATTGGTATATAATTTGATAAGATAAAGTCTATTAGTAACCATATAGTCATTTTAAATGGGATGAATCATTTTGAATAACCTTGTATTTATCTAATATTTTATGAATTGTACTATTTTACTTAGTTTCTGTAAAGGTAGATATTTTTATATGATATAGATATATAGTAGCATGATTATTTTGTTTTAGAAATGTGTAGAAGTATTTTGTACAAGCTGTTCAATAATGATTTGTCCTCTTTGTCATTTAAACTTTCACCAGCCACATAATTTTAAACTTCTTTCCATAATGGGCGTTGAAACCAAGAGAGAATTTCAATCATTACTCTGTGATATAAGGTATAGTGAAAAGAATTACATATTATAAAAAATGTTTAATATTATGTACTTAAAATAATCCTTTACTATTAAGTTCTTTTATTTATAACATCAAATATGCTCGTTTAGCTTGGTAATTATATCAAAATATACCAAAAAAAAAAAAATTGAATTCAACAGTAAAAACAAGTTTCTATGTTCATTTTGGTAAGAATTATACTAATTTTAAATTATTATTATTTCTAGTGATTACCAATTTGCTAGTTGTTGTGTTTGATAACCTTGATCGTATGAATTGAAAATTTAAATTCAAGTCCATATAATTTTTTTTTAATGTCAAAATTGTGTCCAATGAAACTAAATGTATCGTTTGGAAATATTTAAAAAATAATTGAAATTTGGAAATCAATTATTTCAATAAATATATTAATAATAACAATAGGCTAATAGTTTTTTTTAGGTATAAAAACTTACAATTTTTTTTTGCAGAAAAGATAACCATCGTTTGGATTCTTTGATTCTAATGTCAAATGAAAATATTGAGAAATTAAAATCTGAGAAGAGAACAATTAATGAGAAAGTTGATAAAACTATCAATATGTAAGTTATAAACTATGCAATGAAATAAATCAAAACTATTTTGTTAATTGTCTCATTGTAGGTTACTCGAAGAAGTTAATAAACGCTCACTTGAGATAAAAAAAATACTTGAAACAAATTTCACAGATGCTGTTAATAGAATTAATGAGAATAAAGAGGTTCTTAATGGTTTAATAAAAGAAAATACATATTATCATGATGTAACAAGTTCTGTTATAAATAATAATAAAACATTTCAATCCATACAACTTTCTAAGTATGTTCAGTTGAAGTTAAATATATAATTAAGACGTAAATATATACAATTTTATCTATTTTAGAATTATCAAGAATCAAATGAACATTGCTAGGAGCCATACCAAAGACATGCCTGAAGTTACAGAAATTTCTAAAGCTGAATTGGTATATGATGATGAACAATCTGCAAAAAAATGTGTAGAATGTAAGTTAGTAGCAAGCATAATCAAGTACATCAACTATAATAATAAATATATAATTTTTAGCAATTCGAGGATTGGGAAATATTAGTTTATCAACAATTGTTGATCTATCAGATTTTAAAGTCACAGTTGACCCAAATATTGCTCTACGAGCACTTGAAAATAATGTAAGAATTAAAAATATTACTACAATAAGTTTTTTTTTTTTTTGATTATTCCACATTCTAGTACTTATTATTTATCTGATAGTTATCTCTATATTATTATAATTTTGAGCTTGTACTGATTCTTATAATTCAAAATTTTTTTTTAGAATAATACTTAGTATATTTTATTGACGACATTGTTCTAATATTTTATTAAATTATTTTTAGGAATCTTCCTATTTAAGACCTGATGAACCAGTGTTTCTACTACCTAGTGTAATCAAGGTAGAAAAAGAAAATAATGAAATGATAGATGAAGGTAATATTGGTACTTACTATTTAAAATTTAAATACTGATTACAGGCTTTTATTTATAATGAATAACGTTTTTTTAAATTATGTGCTATAGATTCTGACAGTTCAGACTTTGAACCGCTTGTAAGTTGTGCTTGTTGTAATCAATGGACTGAAGAATTAATAAGTTGCATTTGCTGTAATCGGTTTTATCATAATGATTGTCATATGCCTCCACTACCTAATGAGCTTAGACCTAAAGAGTAATTTTTTCTTTCTATATATACATTTTTTATAACTAATTTACTTATATTATATTTTATAGTCCATCAATATTAAGGTGGAAGTGCACGTTATGTCAGGAAATTTCAGCACTATACCATATCACAACCCGTAATGATTCCATAAATAGTTCTGAAAAGAAACTTCTTGAACGGATACTGATGGAGCTGTACTGTCAGAACGAGGATAGTGAGCATTACAGAGATTGTTTGAATAGAGAGAGAGTAAGATATACAGATATAAAAATGATTGTGAATAATACAATTTTATAACAATAATATTAAATGTGTGTTTTAGTATCCACAGTTTTATGAAAAAGTTAAAGATCCTATATCATTGAATAATATAAAAGAGCGGTTAGAATCTAATCCATCATATTACACAGCAGTTGTTGATGTTATTAAGGATTTAAGAAAAGTGTTTCGGGATGGAAAATTGTACTATGAGGTACATATTATTGATATATATATGTAATTTTAAATGTTGTTTATTATAGCAAACCCTATAAATTCATGACACAACAAAAACATATAGATCAACTTGTTCCAATATATCATATTTTTGCCACCAAAAATTAGCCATTTGCTTACATAACTAAAATAATACATATTTTACCATTTATTTATTTAGTATTATAATTTTTATTGTGCTCAGGTCTTATTTTAAATAACTTTATTTAATTAATGATAATTAATGTATCCATCCTCAATTACATAACAAAATATTTTATATTTATAAATTTATTGAAAATTAAAATGTACGAAAAACAGTTAGCTAATGTTATAGTCAATTACCATCATTAGGCTATCAAAGGTGGTCAAATTACAATTCAAAATTAGTATTATGTATTTAACATTTATTTAAATTTATAGTATTGTAATATTACATATACAAATTTGAGAAACGACGTAAGTCTCAAAATATCACAAATTGAGATATTGAGTGGATTGTGTTATCAAATGATCATGTGTGAACATTTGCGAAAATAATATTTAATTTTACCACTGTAAATAATCAGTATGAAAGAGAAATTACCATGTACCACTGGTAACGTAAAAATTTTTTTTTGTTTTTTCAAAAACCTTTTATGGACTTATCTCAAATAGGTGGTTCATTTATATTATTATAAAATAACAAAAATAAAATTCCACTATTTTGCTTAGAATTGATGTAACATTTATTTTAATTTTTTTCTATCAAATATCAATTAAAAATATATTTTTAACTTTACATTGGTCCAGTTAAATGCTGAAAGATTGTAGAATAACAGTTCAGTATGTTATGAGTCACATGAATTATATTTTTCAGAATTTTATATTTTATAAAACAAAAGTACAGGTATTTTACAAATATATAGCCATAAATCTTTTTTTGTTGAACAAAAAATTAAATAAATGTTTTCATAATTATACATAATTTTAATTCAGTAAGTTCATTTTTAGTATTATTTAATCAATTTTATAGGTTTTTATTTATTTAAAATAACTATTTTTATACATTTCATATTTCATACCTGCCACATATTATTTTATTGAAATGTTGTGCTCACACCTTCCCCTCCCAGAACTTTTTTAACAGCTGATAAATTGTTCATAAAAAATTAATGTTTTATTATTTTATTATTGTAGTTTGTTAGAGAATTATTATTAAGCTTTTATATTTAAGAATTTAAATTAAATGAATTATATTAATATTCGTAAATTATAATTTTAGAATAGTCATCCATATTATAAGTCTGCAGAGGAACTTGAGATTTCTTTGAACAGAATGATATCTTCATGGATGCCAAAACTCTATGTATAACAATTCTACTTAATATTAATTACAATATAAGACAAATTGTATGAAACTACTGTATTAACCCACTATGGTTTTATTTTAATGTTTAACAGTGTATTTTTGTTGTTATATAAACATAATGAAAAGTTTAGGTTATATGATGTTAATTATAAATGTGTAATTATTATTTTTCTTAATATTCTTTTTTGTATTTAAACAAAATCTATTTGACATTATTCATCGTAAATTTTACTTTATTTTTATTTCATTTTTTTGTACTAACCAGCATTTAAATAACTATTTATTAGTAATTGCATGTGTAAATGGTTCTATTTAAAAAGTAAATAAATTAAAATAAGCTCACTGCGCCTATATTGCGATGATGCATTAGATTGGGTCGATACATATTTTAATATACAGTGAAAACTCTTTATAACAAAACTCTTTACAACGAAAAACTCTATATAACGTAAACATTACATATTAATGGTTGGTTTGCTATATAACCCATTAGACAATTCATTCTCTATAACGTATCAGTCACTCTCAATAACGAAACAATATTTTATGTTTCATAATACAATTTACGTGTTATCGTATCTATTACATATATAAACTATAAAAATAATCGGCAATAATGCCGACATTTCCAAGAACGATTACATTCTTTCATTATTTGTAAAAATAATGATGTGTTTGATATATAATATTACATACATACATACCTTTATACATAAATAATTAAAATTTTGTTTTTTTTAAACCCTCTCTATTACGAAAACTCTCTATAACGAAAGAAATCCCTTGGTCCCTTCAGATTCGTTATAAAGAGTTTTGACTGTAAGTATAATTATCGTATTCACGATTCCCACATACACCAATATTTGAAGTGGTAATTTTCTGTTCATTACACATTAAAAAAAACAGATAAACTGTATGAATGTATGATTGCATGATGGGGTGGGACGCAGTTGTATATTATGCTGTTAACTTATTAGTTAGTGTTGTCTGGTTCTTTGTTTTATAAAGAGTAAATGATGGAAATGTATTAAATGTTAAGCAAAAATAACAAACAAATTATAGTAAATATGAAAAAAAAATTTTTTTTTAATGCTACCCAAATTAAAAAACCATAGAAATATGTGATTTTGATTTTGTAAGAATAATAAGTTTTAAAAATCTACCTCTAACTCTATAATTTACTATTTTACTATTTATTGATAAAATTTTCATTTTATATTTTTTAATATACTAAATGTTAAGCAAAAACGACAAACAAATAATGGTGTATACTTATTTATTTATTTATTACATAACTTGCAGAGCCCAATTCATTACAACATTATACATGGATAAAAAATAAAGATATGTGACGGTAAACAGATAGAAAATACATAGTTATGACAAAAAGGTAGCTTGTTCATTAGAGCCATAATCTTAAAATGGATGAGGTCATTACGACCGTAGTTTGTGGTATACAGGGTGATCTAACAAGTATGCCACCCCCCTTTTTTCTTTAATTATGAAGTTTTTCAAAATCTGATTTTTAGAATCTTTAAATATACTCGAAGACCATATTTTCATATTCTTGACATCTTTTGTACTACTTAGGAGTGTCCTGTGGTGATACAAACTTTTGTTTTTCAAATGGGAAACCCCACTTTTTTACTGTAAATTATTTAGCGGATATTTTTTTTGAAAACTTTGATGCATTAAAATCAAAATTCGAACGAGTAATTTTCTATTTATTACACATTTTGTGCTAAGGATAATATAGTTTATAATAGAGAAGAAGGATATGCTTATACAGTATACGTTGTTATCTACAGTCTATACACATAATATAAAATAATACGTCATTTTATATTTATTTAGTCAAACTCTTAGGTAAATAGCAAGTAAAATCTTTCTTGATTTATTTAGTTATTTTTCTTATTCCATGTGTAGAAATATATAAGCATATCCCTACTATGGACTATTATTCTTAGAACAAATTGTCCAATAAGTAGGAAACCACTCGTTCGAATTTTGATTTCGATACATCAAAATTCTCAAAAGAATTATCCGCTAAATAATTTAAATAAAAAAAGTGGGGTTTTCATTTGAAAAACTAAGATTCGTATCTCCACAGGACACTCCTTAAGTGGCACAACAAGTCTCAAGACTGAAAATATGGTCTTAAATATATTTAAAGATCCCAAAAATCAGATTTTGAAATTGGGGGGGGGGAGTAAAGTGCCAGCTGCACGGGAGGTGTGAGCTTAAGTCTTGAATTTTTGAATCGGAAAATAACTTACTGAGTTGTTTTGACGAGCCTACAAAATTCGTGCCGTAGTAGATGTCTGAAGGTAGGCCCCGACGCGACACCTCCACCTTCCGCAGCTAGGAAAGCTTGAGTAGACAAATCAGAGATTATTTCAAGATGAACGGCCTTCACCATCATGCACACAAACTTCGAGATATAAACTCTATACTCTCTGGTCTTTCGTAACTTGAGTTTGTTCATGTAGAGAGAATCTGCGAAGTCGATTCCAACCTTCGAAAAAAGACTACATGGCAACACTCGTGACTGTAGAGACATTTGGATATTGAAAACCCAATAATAATTTCCGACAAATTTACGTTTCGTATTGGGATATGAGTATATGACTGTGTGGTACGTGTTCGAAGTCGGATAGTTCAGTCTTCGGTTAAGTTGACGTCTCACCCGTATATGTGTGTTGTATCCGTTTTACGAACGTCTAAACATAGCGAAAACTGTTATGAGCGGGATAAGACCACTCATTCTGTAGTCTAAGCGCTAAGCAACCAAATTTGCATACCTACTATTAGGAGGTGAACATTTACTTGTTCACTTGTTAACATAGTTTTTCAACATCACAAATACAAGAAAAGTTGTTATTGCTTAAAAATTCATTATTATATAAAACTCGAATAATTTTTTTTGTGTTTGTGATATGAAAAAAATAAAAATAATGATACACAGTAAATATTCTGCTACAAATAGTATGAAAATTTGGTTGTTTGGCTTGGATTATAGCCTGTTTGGTTGCTATCCCGCGAAAAACAGTTTTTGCCATGTTTTGTTACAGCCAGAAAATGCGAGTAGCGTGGAATGGAAGGATAATTGGAGAACGGTATAAAATAAAAACGATCTAACATCATCAGTAACATCAGAACATTTGTAACAGGGACTTATGCTGCGATCGTGATGTCCAGTGACGCGTCGCCGTTGACGTTCGCCGCCGCCGCCGACGACGTGAAAACTGACGAACGAAGGTTACATCGAGAAGCTACTATTACATGCATACGACCCTGGTCGATGGGAGTCCAACATTCACTGCTGATGTTAATATATTATTATATATTTATTATATCACTTCGGTGCGCTCTATCGGTACACGTTCATGACCTAACCACTTTATATTGTCTGTTGCCGCCTTGTTAATATAGACACTTTCTTTGTGTGGCAATTGTGTTATGCTGCTCATACTAAAGCCGTAAGTATTGGCTAACTAGGGGAGGGGGCTTAGCCCCTCTATGTGTGTATTTAGCCCCCCATAATATATTTTTTACTTATTTTATAATTTCATTTTATTGTTTATTTTTAATTTTGATTTTAGAGGGCAGTTACGCTTACTGTGGTGGGGGGGGGGGCAAAGTTATTTTGAACATTAATTTTTTAGGACTCAAGCCCCTGTAACTATTAAATCCTAGTTACGCCTATGTGTGTGCACTGTGCAACCCACATGTTTATGTAAAAAATTGGGCGCACCTACTGCACGGTTAAATTAAACATTAATATTTCAATTTTATAACGACATGATTGAGATAGGTTATTGGCTCAAGCGGGTATTATGAGGAAAAACAAATTGTTGTTGGTAGAATTGAAGGCAAGGTGTATAACGATAAGTTTACACAAAAACACATTTTTTTCCGTTCACATTTATTATCAGGCGAAACAAAAATAAACAATTGAACAGACAAACATCAAATTAAACAAACATAGTATAATATAATAAGTACTATATTATAGTGAAATAATAAGTAGGTAATAATATGATATATAGGTAGGTAGGTATACATAATAAATTTAAACACAAACTTAATAGTAAGCATGACTATCAATACACATACTAATACACTACATTATTATATTATCTATTCTAAACACTGTAATGAATAAACTATCGATGAAATAATTTACCTAATGATAAATCGTAATAACGGTTTTAATTATTTTTAAATTTTTTTTTTACGCTTATGGACATTTTAAACTGTTTATTTCACATATACAGGGTGCACGGTATTAACTGCAAGTAATAATGACAAGGTTTGAACGTTATAAATTATATAATATTGGGATAACCATAACTGTAATTAGTAATCACCTATCATGTGTATAATATAATATGTAGGTACCTAATTATAATTGTAAATAAAGTATTATCGTCGTATTTTAGTTTATGGTATATTATTGAAACGGTCTATGGGTATACACTGACGAATATACGTATCGTAATAACGTGTAACATTAAGTATATCGACATTTTCAGACGACCGATATTAATATTGAGAAAAAAAAAATTGACATTAATTCGATGTGGTATAGTATGAATATATTAATATTATAATCTTAAAAGAAAAACTAAACATACGAATTCATCAAAGATATATTATATTCATAACAAAATAAAAGATGCTAAACGTCGCGATATAAGTCTTGTTCATTTTTCAAATTCTCACGAAAAATGGTTCTTGGTTTTTTTTTATTTGTTTAAACACCCTGTAGATATGAATGTAAAAATATCGGTGAACAATTTCATATCATATTGTGGGAATATTCAATCGCCAATAAAAATCGTTAGGTAAATCCAATCGTTATTCAAGCATTAATAATAAAAACATATAACAATTCAAATTGTAATCATATAGTCATAATTATGTTTTTATAAATATATATGTGTTTACTATCAATGTTTTTAATAACAATTGATTACATTCAATAATATATAGTACTTAAATATTTTTATATTTATTAAAATATTATATAATTTATAAATAAGAAGTATTATTTGAAAATTATGTACAAATAAAAACATACAGATAGTCTTAAAAGTACAAATCAACATGTTATAATTAACAACAAAAATCTAAAACATCTAAAATCGATAAATATAGGTATAATATTTTTATATACGACCATGTCTTATTTTTTTTGTACCTGCCTATGTAGGTACAGAATGGTCCAGAACTATTTCAACAGAATAATATCTGGTTGCGATCAATAGATAATAATATTGTATTGGAAGAAAATATAATTCACATGTCTGTTACTCGGATTTAATACGAATATAATAGGAGGTACCAATTACTTATAATAATTATTATATAGAGGTATTTGATTTTACTTTCAACGGATTTTGTCTTTCTTTTTTTATGTATAATAATCGAGAGGTGTTATTATTTAAAAATACAGTATTTCTGTACACACCATTAGATCTTAGTTAAGTGGTGGTCAACAGGAAAATGTAATTGATCGGGAAAAAAATCACTAGTTAGTATATTGAAAATAGCAATATTAACTATTATTGAAACACCACCTGTAGTGTAAGAGAGTCTTACAACGGTACGTAATTGATTTCTGAACCATTTATTATCTATAATGTATTATGTGTTAAATATTAATGCGTAAAACTGAACAGTGAATGTTACCACTTAATTTATTCAAATTTGGCACTGTATTTTTACTATATTATTAAAAGTTATTATATAGATATTATATAATATTTTGATCATTAATAATTAATTACAATATAACTGGTGTTTACTTGTACAATAATCAATATTAATGGACGGGTGAATAGTTATTTTTTGGTCGGATCTAAGATCATTGTTTTAAACGCGTGTTACATAATTAATATCATTACATAATAACATAAAAAGAAATGTATTTTTTATGTGTTACTACTCAATACTTCCCGTCTCCTTATGAAATTAAAACGTTTATTATATATTTTTAACATATTACATTAAACAATTAGTATTATATTAAACAAAAAGTTCCTATATTATATTTGAGAGAACATCAAGATAATTGGAAAAACATCAATATAAAGTTTATGATATAATTATTCAACATTCATGACGCACATTGTCCTTTTAAAACGTGCTTCAAATTAAAGCTCAACCAGCTCACCGAACATTTTAAGTCCTATACATTTACTTATTCATTCATATTTTCTTGTTATTACCCATAGCTCATTTGTACGTAAACCACACAATTCACCGCCAATCATTCGGTCAGCCATTTAAAAAATAAATGTCAGAATTTTGGACACCTAAAAGTATAATTTGTGCGCCATTGTATCAACATCAACGATTAAAGGTGCTTACACCTATGTTTAATATGTGTAGTAGTATAAATAAATCCACACAGTTTTAATATTTTTAAATTAATAACACATTATTTAAACCTATGTATTTTATAATTAATCAATTAAAATTCTAATGAATTATTTTTAGTAGGTATTTTTTTTCCTTTAACTGACGTTAGGTATTTTATAAGATACCAACGAAAACATAAAGTTTTTTCTGGTCATTAGAAGCAAAGGAATAACTCTATAATCATTTAGATTTTAGGGACTAAATACTAATAGAATAATGAATCGTCAAAAAAAACACTTAATAGATTATTACTATTTCTACTGAATAAAACGACTATAACTATATTTTTTTAAATTTTTAAATTTTGTTTAAACTTAAATTAAAATATTTAAAAAAAAAAATGTTATATGTGAAAATTAAATCAAACCAGGAATCTCAGGCGCAATCAGTTAAAACCCCCTCCATTCCACAAAAAAAAGAAACCACTTAACTCAAACAATAATTAATATGTTCAGTAAAAATGATCATATTATTTTACCTATATTTGAGTATACTTGGTGATAATTTAAAATATTTTTAAATAATTTTAAGCCGCTCTCCGATCTGCGACTTATTGGTTCGTAACTTCCCCTATCCCTATGAAAATCAAAATCGTATAAGGTTATATATTAAGGAAACTTAATATACCATATAACCATATACCTATTATTTTACATTGTATAATGCGTAATAATGTTATAATGTAAAATAATATAATAATATACTAATCTACAACGTTTCAATTAAATCAACTCGATGTTCGATGATATAATTGTTTTCCATCTGAGTACGTACATCATAGTAACTAACTCGACGAAACTCGTGATATTTTGATGTTATAATGTATACTTGAAATGCCCTAAGGATTACATATCTACTTAGCTAAGGCAGTGGCGGAACAATTGCTCTATTTTGAGAAGCAAAGTCCTGTTCAAATCTTTGTTAGGTACCTACAGATGTTTTTAAAATTTATTTGTTATTATAAATGCTCTCTTTGCCCGCCACGGCTTCGTGTCCAATACTAAAGTAAGTACCTAGAAATTCATAAATTATAACCTGCAAATATCATATGATATTACCTACAGGTAATTTTATAATATGTACCACAGACAATAGAAATGTTAAACTTAAATCAGCTTATATCGAACAATCAAATTTGCAATAATTATTTTTATAATAAAATATGTACATTGTACAACGAGAAACAGTTCATTATGTACATGTTTTTTCGAGTTTTTCAAATTTTCAATTTTTTTTTTTTGGCGAACAATTTGTATTTCGTTTATATCAAATTTTATAATTTTGTAGTATATTTGTGAATAGCTGATTTAGTTAGAATAACGCAATTTGTCAGAATTTTTAAATCTTGGCGAAGTAGTTTACTGTCCAACAATGTGCATCGCGCACGATGATGAACCAGAAACGAAAATGTCTATAATGAACTTTATGGCAGAGAAAAATAATAATTTAACCATTATAATGAAAATTGGAATGCACTAACCCCCTAATTTTATACTTTGTTGTGCAAACACAATTTTAATGGTTTTCCAATATTTAATTGAGCAAAGCAGAATAATATTTTGATATATCTCAGCTTATTTCAAACAATAATGTTGTTCTACGTATGACATAATTATTTTGAACGTTAAACATGTAATATTATTGTATTAAATTATCTACAAGAAATAAAATGCAGCGATTTAAGTATACTAACTATTATTAACAACTTACATTTAACTAATATTTTTACAGTTTCTTAAATAGTCGATATAAATTCTGTACAATTTATCATACATACATCACATATACCAAATAAAGTTATACGAGGCTTAACATTTAAATTAATGATAAAAAATAATTTGGATTTAGTGCCATACTAAGTTGTTGATAGAAATAATATGATCATCATAGCTAATAAATATTTTAAATAATGAAATATTTGTTCATTCCTTTGTGGAATATGATTTCTAAAAATGTACCTACCTAAATAGATTTAAAAAAGGCGAATATTTTGATTGAAAAATTAAAAGTGAAGAAACTAACAGTGGTAGTAATAATTGAAAAAAATCCTTCTCTCAAAATTGCATAAGTATAATACATACAAACATTCATAAACCAAATGTATTATATACACACTCACATAGTACAGACTCACTATTAACCTAATTAATGCAGTATATACACATCATATATCTATATTATATAAGAATACATACACGCATATAGATAAATATATGCATGTACCCAAAAAAACTCGCTCCCCCAAACACACCCCCACCTACAAACACATACACAAATATGTACATATTAACTGTCTCTAATGTATCTAAATATCTACCTATTTAAAAGTGAGCTTATATTTTAATTTTAACAATTTTGAACTGCCTTAAATTTAAGAAGAGTAACCTACCTATAATAAATATTTACAACATATACCTAATGCTAATATGTTCGAATTATTGAAAGAGAGTCTAATTACACGTTAAGATTCATATGGCTAAAAATCAAAACTTCATTAGGGTCGTTTATTCATTTTGTCCCACATCTGTTGAAGACGATTTATCTTCGTCTTGTACAAGTTCACCTGGAAGTGGCATTCTAATGTCACGCATGGTATATTTCGTCTTAGATTCTCTAAGTTTCGCTTCTGTAAATTCACATATTTTACCATTAATATATTAATACACATAGATGAATACAGTGGATATACGTTTGCCTGACATATTATATCACATGCCGAGTACATACAATAAACATATATTTTATAAATTACCTCTGGCTGCTTGTACCTTCCACTTCATTTTGTTGACAGCCAAACAATCGTTCCATGGCTTTTTTATTTTGTACAACTTGTTGCTTGATTTGGGGTCTTCAGTGTTTTTATCTTGTTTTGAATCTGAAAAATGTGAAGTTTATTAGTACAGATTATAGTTAATAGTTTCCTTCTTACAGAAATATGTTTCCAAACATATATTTGGTAATTTTGTGATTAGGAACCGTACTAATATAATTTATGTACTTATTTAAATGCCATTAAATATTAATCAAAAACAGTTTTTATTATTTTAATTTTTAATGCAAAACAAATGTTAAGGAAAAACGGGAATTTTTACTCAAAATCAGTTTTTTCCAAACTAAAAACTAATAGTCATAAATAGTTTAAATTTTCACTGGATATTTATATTACTGTTTTCTATACACCATTAAATTTTCAAAATTTCAAAATATTTTAAATCTTTTAAAACTATTTATGGGCATAAACAAATTTTGATTTTTATTAGTTTTTTTAAAACTATAGCCGATAAAAATGTTTTCCCACTATATCAAAATACTTAAAGGTTCCTCATAAGCTGTTATAATTACAGCTAAAAATATTAAAGATATCAACATCTCTGAAATTTGCAAACTATCTTGTAGTTACAAATCTATAAAATGTTCAGTTTTATAGCTAAGGATTGAAAATTAAAAACATCTAGACAAGATATCTTCACAAGTAGTTCATACTATTACCAATATATCTAAAAAAATATATGAACCCTTTGAAAAAATGTTTTATTAAGTTCAACTTTGGACAAAATTAGATATTAACACGAAAAACAACTATATTAGTTATTTTTTTGTAATTAAAAAAAATTATTACTATACTTAATACATAAAGGCTATCTGTTAGACCTTCAATCATTTTTCGTATCCAATAATATTATATCATTGAACTTGTAAGGAGGGTGGTGTAGGTTTTTTTATGAAGTGTATTAATATCAAATAATAGATTCATAGTGAAGCGAATACAGATTTGTTGTATTGAATTTTTTTCTGATATTTTCTTTTCTTTTAAGAGCGATAAGAACATTTTGAATAACAGTAATCATCAATTGGAAATATTTTGGTACCTTATCAATTAAACATCATTTTTGATTTTATCAGGAGTTTTTAGAAACGTTTGCCAAACTATTGATAGGTTTTGCAAAAAACGAAAATCGTGGCACTTTTTATAGTCTACACGCCCATCAGCAATATTTTGTTATAATTGTAAAATAAATTAACTCTGTATTATTAAGTAAAATATTAATTAACAATTTATTTAAATATATTTAATACATAAAAATGTTGAATTTGTTTCAATAAATTTAATTTCAAACAGAATTTGGGTGATTCAATATTTTTGTTCAGCAATTTTGATAGGTAAGAGAGTTAAGGAATAATCTGGTAAGCTATAGGTATAACCAGGACGTTATTTTTAATAAAATGTTAAATTTGGTTCAGTGTCAGTTATATAATTACCTTTTTCAGTTTCGTCTTGTGTTGTGCCCTTGATTGCAGAAGGCGTGTTATGTGTGTCATTGGAGTTTTCAGTGTGTTTGGTTTCTTTAGATTCCTTTACATCTTTACTGCCTTTCACATCTTTATTTTCTTTTGTATCTTTGCTATCTTCGATGCTGCAACTCATTGCTGTACATGCGATAGCTACGTCCGATTGGTTGGAGTTGTCTGTTTTTTCTTCATTGTCATCAACAACCAAATTTGTATCAACAGCCTTGGATGCATTAACCAAATTAATTGGACCCAAAATCAATTCCAACATGTCACTGCAGACGGTCATGCTAGGTTCAACTATGAACTCAATGAACCCTAGAAATTAAAAATAAATAATTGCTCTTATATTTTGGAATATTTGTTATTTTATAATTTTGTAGAAAAAGGGAGTTATGAAAATCATAATAATATTTTTAATATTTATTTTCGTCGTATTTCAATATTTATAATTGTACTATAATTGAATAATCACTATCATAACCCATTCAACACATTAATTCGGGCGAGTTAAAATACCAACCGATTTGGGACTCAGCAATTAGCGTATTGTTCCTGTCACATAAAGGACTGAATGGGAGTCCTAATTTTTTCTCCATGTCTCCCTGCAAAAAGAACTCCTCCAACAATTGGCTTGTCCATCTATAGTGCAATTCCCATTCTTTGGCGGGATGCGATATATCAGCGCAATGTAGCACCATTGACATTGCTTTAGATTTGTCAATTCTGTAAAGTTACCATAAAAAAAAATTATATTACGACATGGATTACAATTCACTAATACGTTGGTTGTCAACTAGTTAACTATTATGTCTTGCAAAAAATTATGTTTATTTTATATATTTTAGTTAAAGTAAAACGTAAATAAATATAAAAAATCAGTTCAACGAAAAAGGCAGGTAGTTATTTTTTTTTTTTTTAAGTACGATAATGTTATGAAAATTATTTAATTAAAAACGATATTATGTACTTACAAAGGTTCCGGCGATGCTAAAAGTTGCTTCATAGTTTTTAATTGTTGAAAATGGAAACTCATATCTGTTGCCAACACCATATCTATGACTAATGTACGGAACTCACGGAATTCTTCTTTTGTGAGATTTTGTAATATATTACAGTCTTCATCTTTTAATATTCTATAAAAAAAATTCATTGTTAAAAAACATTAAAAATATTTCAACGTAATTTATTATTTTAATTTATTCAATAATTGTATATGATGAATACATTATTAACATATCTACAATAAATATTTTTAATTTACTGGTTTCATAATTTAATTTGTTAACTACCTATAGAATTATTTAAGAATTAGCAAAAACATTGATATTAATCTATTTTCATTTAATATTCATCATCATAAGATAATAAAATTGCATACAAATCTATTCAAATATTAATTTTTTTTACTTTAATTATTTTCACATGGCTAACCTGAAAGTGGAACTGATATGGTAATTTTCCAACACAGCGCGGTCATTATACAATAGTGCAATCTCTGTGCCAGACATTACATGGAAATTGTTTGTTGTTCCAGTGTGTTCAAAGTCATGTGTAATGGCTGCAATTAACATGGCGAATATTTCCAAATCGCTCAACCAATTCTACAACAAAAATACAAAGTGTTAAAGTTACACCTTACGCTATTAATAATCATAAAAATTATGAAGAAAAATGATTTCACCTTACTAATTATGTCTAAGAATACAAGTGAACTTTAAAAAATCAGAACTAATATAACTAAAAAAGAATTTTTCATAGGGCATGGGTACAAAGTTAGCTTATAATTTATTTTCAGCAAAACGTGAAAAAATATACCTTCTTTTGAAATAGGTACTTAAAAGAGTGTAGACATTTAATTTAACATTATATTGTTATTTGTTGTGTTGACATTGACAAGTAGGTAGGCATCAAAAATAAATTAATATTCAGTAAGAAAATAATAAAAATCAGCATAATCGAAATTTGAGATTAACTAAAAAAGGAGAAATACTAAGGAAACAGAGTGGTAAATTCTGTAAAAAAAATTATGTAAAAATGCAAGATTTTACTAAAATTAAAAAAAAACTTTTGCACTGGTGTGCTTTCGTGATATTTGAGAAACTAAGTCCCTACAAGTCTTCGATTTTCATTAATTGTATTCTTATAATAGGCAATACTATACAATAAGTAATTATTATACAACGTTTTGTCACATTTATAATATTACCATAAGTCCGGTTTGACAAAGCATATAATGCACAGTTTGTGCAACATCAGCGCCGTGTAAGTTATTATGGTATGGATTTTTGTGTCTTGAATAGCCTTCTTCAATTCTGCACAAAAAGTTCTCCATGACTACAGATGGCACCTAATGAAAATCATACAAATTAATATCAATGAAATGTAAATCTGTTTTTAAAATGTCTTCCTTTCTTCAATGCTGAAATTATGCTTTTTAATTATTTATTTAGTTTTTTTAAATTATGTAAAATTATAAACTTAAATTATATTATTTAATCCTTATTTAGATTTAATTAAATTATAAGTAGTTACCAACACTTATATTCTACTACACATTGACAATAATACTAACTATTTTCATTGGTAGGTACTGATTTCACCCAAAATAATGTATGACACTATAATTAAATATTTTAATAATTGTAACTGAAAATGTTGCTTATGTTTTTATTTAGGGAGTTTTAAGGGTATTAGGTACAATTTCAAGTATTTGATTTCATTTTACCTAAGCTATAATCATAATTCACTATTTATTTTAATTTTTATTATTTAGTATCAAACTGTCTTAAAAGTTTTGAAATTTAAAAAAACGTAATAAAATCATTTTAAATTTTAATCGGATCAAGTAATACATTATGTTGGTCTTACAATAATATGTTTTATGCCTGTCATGAGGTTTTGAAGAAGTATAAATGCTTCGATCCTTGATTCTGAGCTTAGTTTTTGATATAAAACTGCATCTAGATGGTTCACCGGGGAGTCAAAAGTGGAAATTGCAGGTTATTATGAAATTAATGAGGAAAAACGGAAACCAGTTTTTGTAATCACTCAATTTTCTTTTTTTTTTTTGTTGTTCAAAAATAAATAACGTAAACATTTATCATCTTTTTATAATCGTTTAAAATTAAAACATCAACGAAATTCATCAAAATCACAAAAATTTGTATATTATTCAAACTATTACAAATTAATAACATTTTAAATTTTTATTTGCAAAAAATAAATATTGCAAAAATGCAATATAAGGTTTTTCATAAATTGCGTTCATGGAATTCTAAAAATGTCAAAGCTATTTATCTCCTAGTTAGAATAGTAGGATATTAGATAAATCAATATTCCCAGTTTAAACTTTTTTTAATGCAATAATATATTATTTTATGACAGCGTTCCAATTGTCGAGCCTAATAATGTCCTGTATATTACTTTCCGAGAGTAGCGATATATTTTTGATAATGATACTGGTGATTTACAGTAGGCATTCGAAAAAACTCCCCTTAAAAAAAATATTGGTTAGGTTAGTATCCGATATAAAGCGCTTGGAAATAAAGTACTAGAAAAAGTACCAGTAAAAAAATTGTAAGATATATGAACATTATTACCATCGTTTACCGTTTACTCCAAAAATGTGTTGTGCCATATTATTGTCGATTTATGACGCACAAAAAAAAAATCAGATAATATTGACATCGTTCTGGTCAGTGACGGCCAATAAAAAATATTAAATTGCTTATGTATTCACGACTATCGTTAATTTATTGTGTGTCATTATTGTAAAATATCTATTGCTTAAAAATTGTAAATGTTTAAATTTTAGTAGGCACTTGACTGGTGGTGTAATAAATTTCAATAATATAATTTGTATTTTGTTTATTGTTTTTTAATGACATATACTACAGGTGTGTAATACTCTACTACTCTTGTCCACAGATTACGGTGTGTATGCATAAGTATGTTGTGAGAATTTAACTTTAATTTAGGCTGCATTAGCTCAAACAATTCGAACTCGTTAGGTTTTTTCCGTTTACGTGTAATACACTATGTCATACGAAACGGGCAATTTGCATTAAAACCAAAATAATGATAAACCTAGTGATATTATTGTGACTTGAATTAAATTTTGTTTGATGTACTCACACACACACCCACAAAGTAAAATAGACTTAAATGAATAATAACGATTTAAGTAATAGTAGTAAAAATACAAATATGTTAAATATTGTTTTGAATGGATTTCAATTGTATGCTTACATATTTGTATACTTTTCGAAAAACAAATTGGAAATGTAGAATACGTCGTATAGATTTGATAAAATGTATATCTAGTAAAGTACTGTAAAAAATATTTTATGAAATTTCCTTATGTAGGTTAGTAATTTAACTTAAAAACTGAAAAACAAAAAATCAAATCAAATGTGTTTGTAACATTTATTTTAAACAGTAGCACAACCAGGATTTATTTTAGGTGAGTGGATGAGGGAGAGGGGTACGTAGTTCCTCAACAGGTGTTTGGGGTTTATGAGTACAACCTGGGTGAATTGTAGGTCACGCAACGTACACGTAAACAACATTTTTCAAATTTAGCATTTCCGAGTTATATTAGTTTCAGTATCTGCAGTGAAATCGCACAGTTATGAAAATATTTTTAAATCAAATAAGTACATACATTTTACTACAGTATAATAAATAGTAAACTTACTTTGAATTTTTGGAATATTCCATAGCGATTGAGCAAGTCATATCCTAAGTATTTAAGCGGTTGCCCATTTCCATAATTGTTCAGTTCATATACGTCAAAAGACCAATCATTTATGTCCTGAAATAATGAATTGATATGGATTAATTGACGAACTTTTACAGTGTTTGGTAAGTATTAAATAGCATATTAAAAAATTCTTTAAATAAAAAAAGCTTTTGTATTTTGAGTTTTAGATAAGTACCAACGGAGTTGAAAATAATTATAATTAGGTGAATTACATTTTACGTTAGGTATATAATCCGCATATCCCAAATAATCAAATAGAGGTTTCAAACATAACATATTGATGTATTTTTTTTAAATATGCATAAGAAATAAAACTGTACTGCTCATGGTCAGTAATCAGTTTTCATTATTTTGCATTTAATTACTTTTTTATACCACGCGATAAAAATCAAATTAATCAAATTAATAAAATATAATCATGATAATGGACTGATCAATCCGAATATACAAGCCGATTAATCGACGTGAAATGGTAAGCGGAAAGTCCGAGATAAATTGAGATGACATTAATTTTTCAATTAATAATATGCCAAATAGAAATGATATCAGTCATAGCTATTATAATAGGGTACGTAAAAGATTGATTGTTGTCATTCATCGTTGAATCTGCCGTTTAATAATAATATTGTGTATACTATTGTGCATAACATGGCAACAGTTATTCGGTACCTGATTACTAGGTATTTATCGTCAGGAAATGTGAGTTTACCTTTAGCACTTCGATGACGTCTGGCGGGAACGTCATCATCGGAGCGTTGATCACACGGCGGTACATGCGGTCAACGAATATTCCAGCGCGGATGGCGTGTGCGACCGACTTGAATTTGGGTTTTTCCTCACCCTTGCGCCTTGTGCAAGCCATCTGTCTAGTGAATGTGGATGCAAGCCAGTCTCTGACTTCTTGCGGCACCGCGTCCGGTTGAACTTCCGAAAGTTCGTCGTCCTCTTCCGCTGCCAATCGCCTGAAGTCAGTACATAACATGCGCGTGCGCACGTACATAGACACACGCACACACACACGCACAGACAATTAAAAACATTAACCAAACAACGTCGCCATGGAACATGTTAAAATTATATTATGTTTTAATCAAATATTGTTGTTCAAAATGTTCCATACCAAATGTCGGAAATATTGTTGTTTCTCTAGTATAGGTGCATATATAGTGTTTAGATCACGTGCAAAAAAATCACAGGTTCTTCTATAACGTCTTGCCGAACAATAATTACATTTATTTTTGTTGTTATAGAACAATACATTAAAACAGTTTGTTACTATGATAACTATATTATGTGCACTAAATAGGTAAATGAAACCTAATTGAAAAAAATGTGGCACAAAAACTGTGAAATACCGGTACACTTAAGTTGGAAAACAAGTTGAAAAGCATGAATAATAAACATTAATCACAATTTTAAGATTCCTTGATTTAATTCAAGTATTATTTTCATGAATTATAGTTAACTTACCTATGGAAAGTACAAGTTTTTTTATTAAATCATTATTCCATTATACATTTTGAGAAATAGCATATATCTGTGGCGGTCATAGGATTTATATTTTGGGGAGAGAGTTGGGCAAAATCGTTCATATTAATTTTGTTAATGTTAGGATTTGATGTTAGGCTTTCAAATAAAGTACAAGTAAAATTTTTCCAACATGAACAATTTAAAAGTATAGATTAGTTTATAATTAATATAATCTATTTATATACTATTTATACTAATTATTATGCTCAACTCATATTATTACAACTACACATATAATACAACTTTCAGGGGTGCCGGACCCTTTGCCCCCATTTGAATCCGCTACTGGTGTGTATTATATCTTAAATACTGTATTTAGTATTAAACAATATTTTAATTCTTATTAGTAGATCGCGGATTATATACACTAAAAGCCAGCCAAATATGCACTTAAAACGATTAAATATAAACAAACATGTACAGAAAAATAAAAATATGGACTCAAACAAAATAATATCATACTGAATTAAATAAATAATCTCGGCAATCGCTTTAAATTTAAATTTATTTTTCCTTATTCCACAATAATACTATTAACTATTAAGATATTCTAATTGTGATACATATTAGAAAATCCATAGTTTTATATTCTTTATAATAAATTCATTTAAATATTAATAAAAACATATAAAATAAAACCAAAATTAAAATACTCATATTTTTAAGTGTTTTGAAAATAGCTAAAAAACAATTAAGTTTACACTAAAATATGAAATATTCAAACAATATGTGGTTAAAAGTTAGTCCATAAAACACCAATATGTAGGAGTAAGCAAAAATATGTGGTGTTCAAATTTCATTTTTGAATCTTCATGTCATTGTGTAGTTACTATTATCATACCATAGGTCCCAGAGTGCAGAATAAACATACGATTGCACATAAATCCACGCATTACTCATCAATTTTTATTTATTTTCAATTTTATAAAGGAAAAATAATCTAAGTGTACCTATTAATTTTAAGATGTCATGGTAATAGGTAGCTTGTGTCATGACGTCAATTGCTACATTTTATATTTTTAAATTTTGTATTTGTGATGTGATTCATGATGTTAAGATTTATTTTGGTCAGTAAAAGTTAAAGTTGGGTTTGTCAGACTTCTGCAATGTGTCACTTTCATTTGATTATCTAAGTATCGATGTAAACGTTTTAACACACTTTTCTAACACTTAATACACCATATAACACATAAATAATTAATGAGTTAATGAATTATAATTGAAGGTGAAAAATTAGATAGCATTGTAATGGTATAGTTGGTCAAAAAACGCACACTTCTTTATTTTCGTTTACTTTATATTGCAATTGATTTACTTATTTTATGACGTATTCTAAATAAAAAATAATAATAAAAAAAAAAATGAGCTACAAAAGTTTAATAAATCGACCAGCAGTGTAAGTTGCGTACCTACCTAGTAAAATTTTTTATGGAGAGAAAAAAAACATTCACTCAATATAATACGGCCCTCTAACAATGACGGTTTATGATATACCCAATCGGGGGCGGAAAAAATTATTACACCGCCATTGTTAGGCCTGTATAAACACTAGAAATTTCCATTTTCTCTCTGTTCCACAAGGAAAACAAATTGGACCTTTTTTTTTATTATAACACAACGTCAACTCAGCCGTTGTGAACTGTGCCATAACTATGCGACAAATACGACCAAACACAATGTGCGTTGCACCGTCGACCGAAAAAGTATAGCGTGGTTTCGTGTGGCGAGAAAAGAAAAGGACACGACGTTTGTAAAAAGAAGTAAAGCGAAATAAAGTCTTGTCTCAACATTTTTTTTTTTTTTAAATAAACTTGCTAACGAAGTCATGCCGTGCTTATTGGTTATCGACACCCCGCGCATCAAATAAATAAAACCTACAGTCTGCAGTAGGTATATACTTATATACAAAGTGTAGGTACAGATATAGTAGATATACCTAAGTATATAATGAAATAGCGCTACATCGCATCGCACGCCGAAACGGACGAGTCGAAGCCTCTGAAGAATTTATCATTGTAATACAAAAAAACAAAAAAAAGAAATCAATTTGTGTCGTGTTACACACCACGGGTTTTGCGTAAATGTTTTTCGACTTATTTATAATATAAGCTACTACGTAAGAGAGGACGGGTGAGACATTTCGTATTCTATGATATAATATGGGCAACTGTATATAATATAGGACATATTACAGTAGGTACCTACTCATCTATACAATATTTAATAATATCGTCTAACTCGTATAGGGGTGCGGGCATCACTGTTGACAAAATAATATTCAACAATTTTATTTGTTTAAAAGAATTTTAATAATACACAATTTCGATGAAAAACAATTTATCCCTAATATTATATTATACGTATAATGGTTAGTATTTCTAAGGATTAACAACAATTGCTTTTAACAATTTCATCACGACATAAGTTTTGAAATATTAAAAAAAAAAAGGTTTGTTTTTAGTTCTGGAGAAGAGTACTTGTGTATTGATAATGATATTTGTTGTTTTTCGTATTAAATTCGATTGGGACTTTGATACAACCAAATAGATAAATATAGAACGAAAAATGAGAAATAATATGAGAGAAAAGAGAAATTTAATTTCTATCAGAATATTATTTGTCATACCATAGTATATAATATTTTAATATTTGCATTGGAAATACGAGTCTCAGTCTAACAACAGATTGTGGATATGCCATGTTTTAATATCAAATTGACACCGGAGTACACTTGTTCATCTATACCAAGTTTCAGCTCTTTTTGAATGACAAAATCTGGAAAAATTTGTAGCTCAGATTTGATAACATTGAGTATTTCTATGTTAAATTATTTATAAGAACAAAACAATTCAATAATTAACTAAAACACAATAATTATTGATATAAAATAAAAAAAAAAGTTTTTTACAATTGTTATTATTTATTACACTGAGGCTGGTTCTTACAATGTCCTATTAAGTGTCAGTTAACTTTAATTGGACATTGTAAGAACGAATCTAAGTATATGCATGCCAGTGATAAAAAACCTAGCTTAGAAAATTAGTAGCTAGTATTGACTATATTATAACATTACAAATTTGTTTTATTCTTAGTTGTACCTGTAAGTTGTAATAATGCGAATCGTATGTATTTAATATCTTACGAATTGGTTAAATATTTATTTTAGAATTAATAGATTTATAATTTTAAAAAAACCTCAAATTAGACCATTGTCAATTAATGGATTCACTTGAATTTTACTCAGAATTCGTAATTTTATACTCTTGAGTATGATCTCAGACAAAATTTGACGAGCAAAAAATATTGATAAAAAACGACTAATTTGAATTTGATTTTATCACCAAAATGATATTGATTTCAAAAACAAAATTAGGTCAAATAATAATGATACGCATTTACTATTAGAAACACCAACGATTATTGGAAAGTTTTGATGAAATATTTGTTTACGTGTATTTTGTATCGTTATAACATATTTCATTTATCCAAACATATTATGATTCAATTTCCACCTGTGTTCAATTGCAATGATAAATTATTATTAGTTAATAATTTCAATGTATGTTTACTATGATGGTCGATTTGTGTAGTATTATTGACGTATAATATATATATATATATATTAGTTAATCAGTTTTTATTAGAAGCAATTTATCTATTAAAATATGTAAATATATGAAAATATATCATTTTTAATATCTTTAAGCTTAGTAGATACTAATTGAAAAATAAATGTTCATTATTTACTGTTTAGTACAGCGGTTCTCAAACTGTGGTACTCTAAAGACTACACGTCGGTACACGGAACCCCTTAAGTAACATCGAACGAGACATTTCATCGCTAATATCAAATTTACAAATCCATGGTTCTCATTGAAAATTTGTTATTTAATTCATTCCTTTATTTTTAAACACTAATAAATTTGTATTAATAAATAATTAATATATAATAAATGCATTGCAGTATTTTACTGCATTTTTATTTAAAGTAAATGTACCTACTTAACTACGTAAAGTTTGTATCTTTCTATTTTTAATCATCAGTGGTATGTGACTGATTGATAATATACTTAAGTTTTACAGGAAAAAAAGGTTGAGAACCGCTGGTTTAGTGTATTAATGTAAGAAAAAATGGATGTAAACATTAAAAACAGTTTCCTAGTAGGTAGGTAATTATAAAATGTAATTATAAAATATTATTCTTTGGTGTATATTTTAGTAAGCAAAATCCTATTGTTCACATAATAACATAACTGAATTTAATCTTAGACAATTATTATAAAAATAAGAGTTTTGGTGTTTTTATTTATTCTAGATTAATAAATTATAGGTACGCATATTATTATAATAATATAATGAAATATGGACTAAATAAAATATTATAATTTGAGGTATGATTTAATAGATTTAGAGTATTTAAAACAAACATAGA